TGGAAAAGGAAAACAAAAAAAAAAAAAAAAGAAAGAAAAAGAAACAAAAAAGAAAAACCCGAAGAACAACAACAAAAAAATATTATCCTCCACTAGCGGCTTCAGCCGCATTAGGAAAGTTTCCACTCACAGCAGCAGCTGCAAAGATGTCTGATGGATAGACTGGTATTTGTGCCTAAAATTCACGTATTTAAGCGGAAATAATGAATGCGCCGATCCTCCCACCTCCACCGCCCCGCACACGAAAAAATCCCACCCAAACAAACAGCGAACGGGCTGGGTCCGCCGCCGCCAAGCCCGAGTACAGCCAGAGCATCGGCAGCAGCGGAGCGTTGCTTGGCTTTTGTCTCCGTACGCTTTCTTCCTTTCCTTCCAAACTTCTGGACGCTCTCTCCGAGCTGTATTTATAGACCTGGAGCCCACGGCTGTATTTTTCCTTTTGCCTCCTTTGGCTTGGGCTTAAGTTACTGGCGGGGAAAATAAAAAAGGAGGCAGGCATGCAGGCGGGCAAACGGGAGGATAGAAGAGGGGAAAGCTGGAGGTGCCGCAGGCGGGACTCGAGGGGAGGCTGGGGCAGGCTGCCGGAGAGAGGTAACGGTGAAAGTCCGGCCCCGGCTCCCTGGGTGGGGAAAGGAAAGCCCCTTGCCCCCGGGAAAGGGAGAGGCCGGGACTGCCGCCCCATCTCGATGCGGGCACCTCAGGGGGGCCGAACCAAGAAGAGCTCGTGTTTGTGTCCGGAGGAGGGGAGTGGGGGTGTGGGGAGGAGAGTGGGGCACACAGGACACAAAGTTTGTGTCGGAGGGCCAGATGGAAATAAAGTGGGTACGAGGGGAGCGAGGCTGCCGTCCAGTGCAGCGGAGACGGGAGAGCCGGAGCTCCAACCCGCCTGGCTGCGGCGCACGGCGGTCCCGGAGGCCGGCGGCTGGCGGGGATGGCAGGGCTGGCGGGACTGCCTAGCTGAGCCGGGATGCTCGAGGGCTGCGGCCGGAGCCGCGGGGCAGCGCGGCAGAGCGCCCCGGGGCAGCGCAGCTCTTGGCTGCGACGGGAGCTGTGCGGAGCTGCTGCGGAACAACTCCGCTCCGCTGGGCTGCCGCCGGCTCTTTTGATACCACGTCTCTGCAGCGCTTTAAACATTCAAATCCAAAAACAAACCCCAAGCCGCTTGCGAGAATAGTAATAGCTGTCTGGAAGCACGTTTATTGGAAAAGGCGAAAGCTTTCCCTGCTTGCAGAAAAAGTGATTGGGGGATTAAAACCGTGGGTGTTTGGGGTTTTGATGATGTTGTTTTGTTTTTATTTTCCCCTACGGTCTGCAAGTAAAGAAGCTCTCTTTTCCCACAGGGTGGATGCTGAAAGTCTCTAACAAAATATCTCAGTAACGTGGATGGTGCAATTATCATGTTGTTGAGCATTTCCTTATTGACGTGCACCACACATAGCGTCTAATCTCCAAAATGTATGTCAAAGCAGTTTCTCGGTTTCTGACGTGTTTAGAGAGCCTGTCCTGCAGGTAAGTAAAACATGAGGCTGTGGAAGGAGCTTGCTTTCAGGCTGAAAATGAGACTTTCACGTTTGGCTTCCAGTGGCAGGATGGCTGGAGCAGCATTACACTTGGCTGTGCACTTTGGCATTACTATGACCTAGCTCAAACATCATGTTCTGATGTGCCATGAGGAAAGTATAAAATTATTAAATCTCCCAGCAACCCAGCAAATCCAGTTCAGAGTCCCGGCTCTGGGCTCTGGTTTTTGGGGCTTTTTTTTTTTGGTTTTGGTTTTTTTTTTTTTTTTTTTTAACGCATTGAGGCTTAAAAACTTTTACCTTCACCTCTCCGGGAAGATTTTTCTATTTGATTATATTAATAATATGATTTCTACATGCCCTTCCAAATGTGAAAATCAACCCACTTCCAACACGGGGAGGGGCTGTTATTTTTAGCTCTTTCGCTGGAACAAAATGTTCCAACATTCTCTGCTTTGAATCTCACTGCGGTTTGACTGCTCTTTGATATACAAGACTGTTGGTTATCCTTGTCAAAGTACCTGTTATAGGAAATGGCTACATTAGCTTGGCAAGTCACTCTGAACTAAGTAGACAGCAGCATTTGACTAGCTAAAGAAACGTTTATAGTATTGCAGGGAAGTACCCCAAATATTAAACATTAAAAATGAAAATATTAGAAACCATTAAAAATGGTAAATCTACTCTAGGTGCTATCTTTATTATGTTATTAACGGCGTGCCCAGCTATCAAAATAAGTAAGAAGTGAATAAAATATCCCTATGTATTCTTGTCTCCTCGACAGGAATATTTTGTCAGCACTTGCTGAACTGTTTCAGTGAGTTCCACACACACTTCATAAACAGCACAAAAAATGCGAATCTGATTCAAAAATCACTTAAATATCCCTTTTCTCCCCTCTCCCCCCTCCTTACTCCCCCCTTCCCAGTGGCAGTCCTGCAGCCACTGTTACGGTAACTGAGTACTGTAAAGTGCGTTTAAATGTTCTCCAACCCTGCCCCCTTCCCTCCCGCGTACGCCGAGGAGTTCCAGATGACATTACTTCTATGCCCATTTTAAAAACCCGTCTCCGTATTTAGCTACAGACCCTCCAACCTAAGCGCAAATAGTGTTATAAAGGGACATAACAAAGTAGAAGGGAAGGAAAAAGAGATATGCACTTCTATCAAGTGACGCTTCCTAAAGAGAGAATTACATTGATCCAGACCTTAAAAGTTAGCTATCGTGGTATAACGTGGTATAACGTGGTATAACGTGGTATAACGTGGTACGCATTTGTATGCACGCATAGGTACAGTCTGAGGTGTGAGAGTTATTACAGGAGTTTTGAACTTCGTGGCTGCAGATTTAGAAAGTTCTTATATCAGTTGCCTCTGGACACCCGCATGCATTAGCAAAACCACTGCATTGAATCAAGTGCCTGAACACTGCGATCTTCACAGCTTTTTCTGTACTGCCAGAGTATCGCCGGGTAGGATGCCCTCCTTGGCCAGCGGCCAGTGGCTGAACGAAGTCAAGTGAATAAAATAAGTGCAAAGTAGTATTCTTTGCAAAACGAGGGTGAAATGCGTGTACAGAGAGCACCTAGAAAAGATGAAATATCCGAGTTTTGTAGCTCCAAATAATTAATTATATTCTCGGCAACAGAGCACCGTCATTATTCACGAGCGAAAGGGGCAAAATCCTGCCCATATAGTGATTATTGTTATGACAAGGACCAATAACGGCTTTGTTATAAAAATAGTGTTTGTTATGAAGAAACTGGGTGAGCAGCCATCCAGATAAACATTCCCTGTGCCTAACAAGCCTACTGTCTTCGTGATGTTTTGTGTGCTGCTGACTGCCCGTCCTTTTCAACCGTTGTGGAGTTTTTTTTTCTAGTAATTATGAGCACAGTTTCCCACTTACACTAATTTCAGCACTAAGGCTCCTAAACCGCATAGAAAAGTAAAAGAAAGGTTATTTTTTTTTCCTGCTTATGCACACAGATAAATTCCATACCTATTATTGCTGTGCAATAATGTGTAGTGACACCTTCGTGTGATTCCGTAAAGCCCACTCAAATATTAGAGCCTCCAATTCTCCGTTTTTAATTCGCCTTAGTTGATTTTTGATTTTTCTTTTTATTTTTTTTGAAGAAGGTGATTAATTCTTTTTTACAATGCAACACTGACGTTGCTCCTCAAGTTAGGCGCCCTTTTTTTTTTTTTTTTTTTTTTTTGGTGTCTGCATTTACTTCGCTGTTAAAATATCCCGCGGGACCGGTGTGTGTAAAAGAAGAGGATGGGCACACGCCCAGGGGGTCACGGAGAGCGCCGAGAGCTGAGGGGCAGCGGGGGCACCCGCTCCCCAGCCAGGGCAGCGCCGATGCAGGCACAGCGCTTCTCGCAGAGGCCGCCTCACAGGAACAAGAAGAGGCTAGAAACAAAGCAGAGAGCCCACAAACACAGTTTGGGGATAATGGGTAGCGGGAGGACGTGCATCCCGCGCTCACCAGGGGAGCCCTTCGGGAAGCCAGGGTGACGGGCCCCGCGCACCTCGTCGTCATCGCCCTAAGCGCATCTCCGCGACCACCTTTCCGCGCAAGCACAGCCTCCTCCTCCTCCTCCTCCGGGAGCATGGGGGAGTCCTCCCTAGACCTTACAGACCGCTTCCCGCCGACTCAGGCCGGCGGGATTCCTGCGGTGGCCGCGGCCGACCCGCCAGCGCTCCGTCCGCCCCCGGGCACGGCGGACACCTGGCTGTCGCGGGGCAGCAGCGCACCCTCCTTTTCATCCACGGACCATGTCGAAGCTTTTCCGCATTTATTCCCGCAAGCAGGAGGAATCAGACCCCGCTGCCGAAAGCGGCGGGCGAACGGGAGCGGATTCCCGGCGGGGGCCAGCGGCAGACGGTCCCTCCGCCGGGGCGGGAACGCCAGCCGCCCCCGGGCTCTGCGCTGCGCCCTCCTTGCCCCCA